ATATGACACCAAACGAATATATTAAGGGGACCCTTATTTTCTCTTGATGATATCAAGAGGGCACGTTGACACACATCCATTTTCAAGCAAGTACCTAAATTAATGCGCTTTTCGAAACAAAACTAAAACCAAAGTAATCGCAACAGCCGATCAGAAGAAACCAATGATAACGCAAAGTTCGTAAAGGGCGGGAAAACGCGGGTGACTAAGTCATAATTGTTTTTGGTTTTGCAACTGATTAATGGAGAGGGTGGCTCGAGTTTTCTGGACCAATCGCAGAGCAAAGTAAAGCAAGACCAATGCAATCTCGGATTACTTTGGACACTCAATTGACAATGACACACACAATGATTACCAAACGACAGGAACGTGTATACAGTCGACACGTCAGGCAATTTTCTGCAATGATGCGTCTGAAAACAGCCCAAACGATGTCACTTAAAAATTGTAACACGTATCTGGAAAGAACTCTAAATGCACAGATCTACGAAATCAGGAATCCAAGTAATGAATCTCTGAAAGTATTTAAAAGACAAATAACTTAATATTGATTGCGATTGTGATTTGAAGTTTGCATTAGGCCTAGTTCAAACGTCGATCTTTACATGTACCGAACCTAATTGCAATTTGGGTCGACTCGAATAATTAAGAGCGGCAGTTGATTCAAACGTCGATCCGAATTTAGTCGATCCTAATTGCAAAACTGAACATAACTCCATTGTAGTCAGCGGTTAATGCCTACCAATGGGTATACAGGTATATCTTGTGGATTTAAAACAAGAGGAGCACGAGCCTTCCTCCTTTCCCGCCATATTGTTTGAATGGTTCGAAGGCTTTCGCGCATGGCACGTAAGCGAACTTTCTTTTTAATTTTTAAATTTTTTAATTACACACATCTGACGGAGCAAAAAGCAGCAAACAACTGCCGATAAGTTCATGATACGCCAAAATCGTGAAGCTGTTTTGATTGGTCGGCTTTACCTTTGGTTCTTGTTTTGCTATTTTTGTTTTCGTTATTTTTTAGCTCCACAAACTGACAAAAAGTAATTAGACAATGCTAAATCTGTTCCAAACTTCTCTCCATATATTTGTTTTTACTGTTGGCTAAACTGTTGCGGAACAAAACTTTCTTGACGGTAAACGAGAGAAAGTTAATCGCTTTACATCATTAAGGATTCTTAGAGTGTAACGGGCCCTAACAGAGTTTAGTGATTGTATTGTGAAAACTCCTCAAGGAGAGATACAGAGACAGACTGGCGACTGAAATTAGCGGACAGAGACGAAATTCAAAACGTAAACATGTTGTAAATATTTTAATAAGCTCCCGAGGGGCTGATAAAATTTCCATGGCTGTAACTTAAAGAGAGCACGATCGCGTGGGCGGGCAAATCGGAGGGAGCAACAGATCGTAAGTTTTTACGCTAGATTGAAAACTGTAATATTTGTCGATGTAAGACCATTTTAAAGTTTGAAAGTTCACTGCGAAAGTTATGCGTGGATCAATTAACTTGCACCCAATGTAAATCACGTTTTAATGGGAAATACAGTACAATCAAAGCGACTTTCTTGAAACTCCTGCAACCGTTATTTTAAAGAGGAGCTTTTTCGGTGCTCGCCACGATTTCTTGATACCGACGGAAATCTGAACATAACATAAGTTATTAGTAACAGCAGCTCACGCATGTAGGAGGTGGTCAGTGTTGGATTGACTTGTTAGATACATTCTATCTCTTCCGGCGATGTTTCCAGGGGCAAGCGAGGGTACGCGACAGATGTTGTAAACATTTCCGGACATGGTGCGATGGTGAGCGTAGATAAAACCACGATTTCGCAACAATTCTGACTTGAGAGATAGACCTTGAACTCACCAAATCTGATGCTGGTTATTAACCGCTTAAAATGAGAAAAATTGCGATGGTAAATGAATCAGTTCGTTCTTAGATTTATCAAACGATATCTTATAAATCACCAAATAGTAGCTCACCTGAAAACAACCACAGGAATATGTAGCTGTGAATTTCTAAAAGTCAAGGTCGCCGGCCTTGAAAGTAAATGATCCCGAAGATGATAAAAGTATAGAATATAAAAATTATTTCGACCTTAGGGGCAGTCTACTCTAGCTATAGCTCTAACAGAGTGATATTTTAAAGTCTGGCTCTATTTTGAGGTATACCCCCTACTAGGGGACGCTAAAAAAGTTAATGATATCGTGACTTCAATTTCGTAACTTGGTATGCGATAATAATCAGAGACTTTTTGAAAATAGCAGGTCTGAGATAGAGCATGTTGTTTACTTCAGTGTGCTATCAAGGGGTTTTAGAATGCATCTTAATTTTATCTATAGAAGGTAATTAAACATCGATTGTGGGTTTAAATTCAAGAGCGTTGGATACCCGCGCAGCCGCAAAAAGTTATAGAGCACCCTCAGTAAAGCCTTTTAGACCGTGAACACTAGGAATGAACGTTATCTTCCCAGCAAGTCGTGTTCGAATAGTAGGTTTTGAAACCGTAGTAAACGTTACAATCATTTAATATAACTAATATCTATGAGCTTATCTATTGTTCATCTGTGCTTCAAAGACGACGAGAAATGGTGGTTAAATGGTGTTGGGTGACTGAACTTAGCAAACGAATGAGGCTGATATCTGAAGACAGTGTAATCAATTGGGGAGTGCGTTTGATATAGCATCACTTTTTATCATGTTATAAAGCGAGGGCTTAATAGCTTATATAACAAACGTTGCAACTCAGAGTTACTTTTTCAGTCAAGGCATGAGCAACAGCTCGAGGTCGTTAAAAACAGTTGAACTCCATTAAAAAAGGAAACACTAGGAGTGAAATCACCATATACCCAGGATTTTTCCATGAATACATGTTTCCATATTTTGGCGCAGTCACATGTACTTATTCCCAAGTGACATATCTTTCCTTAAATGATCATGACCAACATCGATTCTTTCGTAAATGCGTGGTGACCTGACGATTAAGAGTGTCTCTGACTTAAGGTATATACACCATTAACCCACTTTCCAACTCATTGATCAAGATTGGGCGAAAACTGCCCACTTGAACTTTGTGCATGTAGATCTTGACAACAAGGAGTGCTTTCTTATCAACACTTCTGATCTCAGTTTGGAAGTTTTCTAGAACAATTTTGAATTCCTCGTCGAATATGTTTTCTCATCCGCGCACGTAATAAGTGATACAAAAAGAAAAGAAATATAATCTTGATGTAAGAAAATTCTATCTCCACGAAGGAGACATAATTTTAATGAAGAACTAAGGGTGTTAGCCATTTGAAAAATGACGCAAGCATGGGGTCGAAGTATTCTTGAAAGATGAATTTAGCCTCTAATTTTTTTTGCCGGACAGGAATGTTTACAGCGAATTCCAAGTTCGTCTGTTTTTAAGCCACTGAGTTTCTTTTATGACGTCAAAGGACAATCGTTAGATAAAACTGGTCAGGTTTAACAAGAGAAAGAGGACACCGCAATTTGTTTTGAGTGCCACAGCTTTCTCCAAAGTCGTTTGGTCCACTCGTGTATTGGATCAAGCGGCAACATGGCGACACACACTCGCTAAGGATTACCTCCTATTACTGTCAGAGAAAACTAACGTTCTCTTAGACTAATTTGTAAACATTACACAGACAATAAGCGGGAAATAGCGGGCGGGATAAAGGAACTTGCTCCTACAGAAAAACTTTCTTTGCGATCTCTAGGAAATGTTAGCCGTAAACAAAGAGTTTCTAGGCGACACAGAAATCTAGACACAACTTTCTGATATACTCCCTTTCGAAGAAGGCTCAATCTTTTCAAGATTATCAAGAGCGGGTCTAGACAATCCATTGGATTATTGTTAACGTTTATCATTTCGTTATTTATATTTCTTTTATTGTGGCTTGAATGAATTTCATTCTCATCGTCGTGGGCGACTCAGCTATTTTTTTCAAATCACGAAATTCACACATGGAAGTTATCAATTTTGATTAAGTGAAAAAAAAATTTAGTACCTCCGTTTCTATTCAGACGTAATTTCAGTTTACTGCTTGTTAAAGGTATTGACGCAGCACAAAATTAAAATAGCATTAACTGAATAGCTGACATTATGATGCGTCATATTGTTTGAGGTTAGTCTTTAAGACTCCGGAAATTACATATCCAGGAGAAAAAATCAGAGACTACTGATATATATTTTGTGCGTAACACAGTTCCCACAGTTTAATATTCCATTGGCATTATGTCAAAATTAACGAAGTAAATCATGTATTAGTCGAGCACTGATATTTAAGCACATCTGAAGGGCAATGGGAAGTTTCACATTTTCATAACTGTTGATTTTTTCCTCGTCCACATTAGGTAGTACGACAACCAAAATTCCTTTGGAAATGTTCTGGAATTTGACATCATAGCAATAATCATCCGTTGTTTTTCTTTGAAAAGTCCTCTCTTGCCAAATAATAACAAAATACTTGAGCTAAGCCAGTCAGGCGTTTCCAGGTTTTTTAAGTTGTTACAAAGATAAAACGCGGTACAATTAAAGACTAATTTTTTTTCCTTTTCTAAAAGAGCTGAGCCGTGAAAAAAAAACGCCTTTAGAAACAATGCTTTTCCAGCTCCCTTTGTTAATTTATTCCTGTTACATATTTCATTTGAGGTTAAAAAGAACTTTCTTTTTTGTTTCATCACACAATTGCAGCCCACACCGAAGTCGCAAATTGGACACTGCGGTTTCACTTAAACAGGCGCTGATTTGGTCCGTAGACATACAAACCCACGCCTGTGGAACAAGTGAATTAAACCGAGGACCGTGAGAGAGCAGATGGAGGAAGCTTTTAGGTTAAATTCTCACGAATATTTTTTTAATAAATGGTAAGTGTGTACTTTTTAGGAAACTGAGCATTTTTTTAAAAAAGTTATCAAGATCTAAAGAGCCGACATGAACCTTTGAAAAACAAGTTGTTTCTTACCGAAAACAATTCTCTACTCATGAGTTTACGTATGTGCGAAACTGTTACGGTATAGATTTTTTAAGAAGGCTCTTAGACGCGTGTGCGTTATTTTGGAATATTTAGTAATTCTTTCGCTCTTTCGCCTGCGATCTCCGTGAAGTCTCTCGAATATCGGACTGACGAGATTGAGCTTGTTCTTTGTGCTTTTTAAGGAAAAAATTTTGCGTAACAACCGCAATCATATGCATATAAAAACATCAAAACAAGATCACAGACACAGACTCTAACAGCTCACTTGGAAGAATACCTCAAAGAGACAAGAGATAGGGAAAATGAGGAGCTTCGTTTCTTGGAAAACTGTCATAATTGTTGCGTTGTTGCTGAGAATTTATTTGGCCGAGGAAGTTATTGCTGCGTTGGAACGCCCGGAAAAAACGAAGGAGCCTCAAAAAGCCATAAGATTTCTTAGCTCAAAGAAATTAGGCGGCAACTTTGGTGGCAACAAGACCACCACGATTTCCGAAACGAAAACCATCAGCAACGGTTTCTTGAAAAATGTCCCTTTTACAGTGTCCTTCGATGATCCCGAAGAAGATCTCACCGACTTTAGCTACCAAACGATTTGGCACAATGGCTCGGTAACATTTACAAATTTCTCTGTTCATGATTTAGATCGTTTCAACTCAGGTAACAGATCTGAAACTCAACACGTGTTAGGAGATGACTCAGTAATTGGTGAGCCCGAACTTTTGTCCTCATCTCTGGAGGAAAGTCATCAAAACTTTTCCCGAACTTTTGAGCAACGTCGCTTCAAGAGAATTATCTTTGGGCGTGACGGTCGCATTAGATTAAACACCTCTACTCTCGCTCAGAAATTTCCTTTTTCGCCATATGTCAAAATTGCAGCAGGTTCTTTCGAATGTTCAGGATCACTGATTTCTCCGTTTCACGTTCTGACGTCAGCGCACTGCGTTCACGATGGTCAACGGCCGCTGACAGACATGGCCAATCTGAGAGTAGGAGTTCTGCGACGCAATGGAAAATTCCGTTGGATTCGTGTGGTTAAAGTCAATTTTCCGGAAAGCTGGCGCCGTAATTCCGATTCATCAAACTTTGACTATGCAGTAATTAAGTTGATTAAACCTCACAAACGACCCTTTTTCAAGCTCGGAGTGATTAATAGGGCAGGTCCACAATACAAGATTCACTTCGCAAGTTTTCCCGGTGACAAGAAATCAAACACAATGTGGTATAGTCACTGTAATACGCGGGCGAATGCCAATTTGCTAATTTGTAGATGCGACGCCGCTAGAGGAAGTTCGGGGGCTGGGACTTACGTTAGAACCAAGCTAAAGGGGTCTGGGAAAGACCGTGTGATAGTAGGTGTTCTTTCGGGGTCTGGAATCGTCAAGCTTCCCGACGGCAAGAAGCACTTTAATTTTGTCACCAAGCTAACAACGTCAAAAGCGAGGCAGATATGTGGCTGGATAGGAAGAGGCTCAAACTGCGTCACATGGAATTCGTTTGACGCTTCTAACCAAGCACGACTTCGATCAGACCGTTAGAGGAATGCAACTTCGCTGTCTTGGTTCCCAGGATCTCTCTTCTTCTCACCGGATTTGGCAAAGGAGAGACTGTAGAAATGTGCGGAAGTCTGAAACTTCGCCAGAACATTCTTACAGGCTGAGAAGGCATGCATAAATGCCTCGATAAAAACTATGGGATAATCCTGTTTTCCTAGATTTGTCTCCCTTTCCTCTTACTGGCCGCAAAATGTTGTCGCGAAAAAAATTTGAAGAGTACCTATAACAAACTAAGGCATTAAGACAGGAGCCGGCCCCGCTGTGAATAAGAATAACTATGACAATTTCTCATAATTTATCAAGAAATGTGAAGAAAAAAAGGGATATTTTCAACATCCTGGAGGTGCGCATTTGCAATAATTTCATTAAAACATCTTATCCCTCACAATCAGTAACGTGTTTTGGTTGTTTGTAGGCCAGAGGATGAAGAAAACGGAGGGGAGGAGGTGGAGAGGTGGCAAAGGACTGAACCACCCACCCACCCGTACATTTAAGGACTATACTAATCTCCTACCAAGATCCTACTGTTTAACTGCGACTGAAATGTAGAGACCTTACGACCGCTAGGCCGTGGAAGGTCTAGGTACGCGACGCTTGGCTGTGTAGGGTCTTGGCACGAGACTAAGACCATACGTCCACTCAAAACATTTCTTGTTACCTTCTACATTAGAAGTGATTTACATTTCCAAGATAATCACACGCGCATTTAGGATAAGAGAATTCTTTGGAATAAAAGTGCTCTCTCCCGTTTTTGTTTTCTTTTGTTTGTTTCCGAAGGGGATTGAATAGTTTTTGAAGGTTATTGGAAAAGGAGTAAGTAGGAAGCATTTGGAATAGGACAGAAATAGGAAAAATGGGCCAACTTGGAGATCCGTGGTGGAAGACTGAGATAAATTTTTAAAACGGAGCGGATGAAGATTAAAAGACAGGTTCCTCCACTTGTAAAGTATTGATTGAACTGGAAACTAATCGAAAGTTTTCACAATATCACTTATAAACAGGAAATTGTTTCACAGGTTTCACTCTCGTGGTTTACAATTAAGAATTTATCATCACTTATCAAGTAAATGGCAAGAGTGATAAATGGTCGTTTAGCAAAATGATCCATGGTTTACCTTTACTAGGTTTATATTAACAGTCTTCACACAATATTACAATTGGCACTTCGCTGAGCTACGTCACGGTTAAAGATCGTGAAAAAATTAGGCTAAATTTTTTCTCTGACGTAATTTGGGATTATCAACAGAGTTGTCAACGTAAATTGGCCACCATAAGAATTTCGAAGCTAACGTTTCGAGAGTTAGCCCTTCGTCAGAACGAAGAATTTACACCGACGCAGCATAAAAGTTTCTTTAAAAACTGACCCCCCTTAAAATCTGTTATTTTTGTCATTCGAAATCGATTCAGACAAACATAATCGCTTTCAAAGAGTGTCATTGTTGCTCGATCTGAAAACGTGGAAGTCATTAAACTGCCCCCTCGAGGCTGACCACAAATCTGTTGTCAGAGGCAGGTTTTTTTCTCGAGTGCTATGGAATGACTGTCTCAAATATAAAAGGGTAATTTAGTAATATCAACTGAGTTGATATCGTAAATTGTCCACCGAAAAGAGTTTCAAAGCTGACGTTTTTACCGTTAGCCCTTCGTCATTCGCTCTGACGAAGGACTGACGCTCGAAACGTCAGTTTTGAAACTCTTTACGGTGGCCAATTTACGTTTTCAACTCAGTTGATAATACTAAATTACCCTGTTATGCTCTCCCACTCAATTGAAATTGGAAAGGACCGTTACTGCTCAAGCGTTTAGTTCCGTATACCGGAAGTTATGTTTAAGGTTGGTATAGTAACGCAGCAAAATAATGTAACAGGAAGAGCAAACTTTAAGCAAGAATTTAAAGATTCCAAGTCAGTGACGTGTCCTTAAAGAAGGGAAAAAGAAGGGTAAGTAGGAAAAATGTGATGGAAATTCGGGGAAGAAAAATTTTGAGTTACTTAATTGAACTCTGGTCTACAACCAACTGGTCGGGGCTAATTTCCTAATGATATTTATTGAAAGATTAGTGGAAAATTGTTGAGGTTAACCACATTTAACTGCAATATCACCCTATCACTCTTATATTCAAGATCTCTAGTTAACTACACGTGGATCTGTGGATGCTGGTTCTTACTGTGATCTTTTTAAAGGGTTTGCCGGATCGAAATTTCTTGGAATGAAAAAGGTGTTTATCTAAGGTGATGATGGGAGAACTCTCTTAATTTTCGATCTTCCAAATTAAGAAATGAATAAAATTCGAAAAAACAACTTTATCTGTCTTGAGGCGACTTCGATAACTGACCAGCTGACGTGTTTGCTTTACAGGGTAATTTCACATGGAAATTGTTAACGAAATAGGCAAAGCTTCACCAGCCACGTGGCGGAAGGGGATTTCAAAAATAGATCTGAACAACCCACTCAAATATACAAAAAAATTAGGCAAAACAGATAACGTTTCAGGAAATTTGGAAGCACTTACGACGTACGCTGCAAAGTGCGTTTAGTTAATTACCTTCCTGTTTCTGTTACTCTGACATGACATTTCCTTTACGTCAATGATCTGAGACAGTGAAACATTACAACAAGGATTGCTCCCTTTTTTACCTCCAAAGCACATGAACTTTGGACTGTTACTTCAGAGAAACCTAAATTTTCGCTGCTTTTCGATCAAGATCGTAGGTTCATCCCCAAACAGCGGCTTGTCATCGAGCGCTGTCCCAAAGACACATACATGATAACTATTACTTCAGTTTTACGCTGCTGCTGTCGTTGATCTTTCAAAGTTCGTCGCCATGTAATGTCAGCACTTAGCTTGAACTAAAAGAGCAATCCAGAATTTTCACGCAGCACTTGGTTACGCCTCCTGCAGCATTTGAATTCTTCGCTCATTCTTTAGTCAAAAAGTTTATCAATTTTCCGTGAAATCACCCACACCAATCTTTAATTCCTACTTTGTTGTGTGCTTTTGACGAATTACACCACTGAGGTAACCCTCAATAGAACAACTTTTCACACATACATTTTAAAGCTAAATATGGGTTTTTTTCGCTTATCAACACTTCAAACTTGATCGCATAAAACATTACTACACTTTACTGTTACTATCTTCTATAACTGTTGGCTGATGATGGAATGAATGATAATAACATAACATTCAACGATCGAGTGCTTAAGTCATTGAAAAGTCAACTAAAAGATTTTTGGACTAGGGTAACAACAGTGAAGTAGCTCTGGCTAGATACCTAGAGCGATATTGCTTGAACTATCAACAATAACTAATGATGTGAAGCTCTATTGGCTATTTTGGTTAGAGGTGCAGCCATTAACCTTGAACCTCAATAACTATTACACTTCACAAGACTTAAATAATCATGAAAAAACACATAGAAGATTATTTAGTGTGTCCAATGCGTGTTAATTTAATTTAAAATTGTACGATGACCTTTGTATCAGTCTGCAAAAATAAAATTGATATCACTGTGTTATTCACGTGCAAGTCTGATATTTCGCACAACAAGGAAATCTAGAAGACTTGCTTGGTACTTACTCACCGTGACGTGTTGAAATATAACTGACAAAAAGCGAATCAGCAAATTCTTGGAATTTTATAGTTTTATTTTAACAGAATGAAGTAGTTCTGCTAAAAATGTAACAGCAACGAGCACTTTCCGCAAGTGTCATTAAAACTTTCCTACGTATCTCTCTTTCACAAAGATTCGTTGAATATCTCAGAAATCACTGTAAATGCTTCTCCTTCGTCATCAGTTGAGAATTAGCAGCCAAATTAACTGGAGTAAAAAAAGCGCATGAACTTTTCTGCAGAACGGTGACTAAAAGTTGGTTGACCCGACCGTAAACACGGTAAAAAAAAAAAAAAAAAAAAAAGAATTAGCCAGTACCAGTGCCTTACTTTCTAACCTCTAGGTTCTTAAATTCCACAAGTATCTTAGATTCTAGAACTACAAAACTCTCAATTCTCCCAATCGCTCTGACGAAAGGCAGACGCTCGAGACGCAAGCTTAAAAAACTCTTTACGGTGGCCAATTAACATTATCGGCTCAGTTGATAAAACCAAACCATCTAAAATATTGGAAAGTCATTGATGCTCAGTGACATGAAAGAGCTCGTTTAAGCAGAAAAATGGTTTCAAGAAAATGGCGAGAAAAGGCGGGGCGCAGCCAAGAAAGATTAGAGTATTTTTAAATAATCCAAACGGAATAGATGAGTAACTGAGGTGAATGAAGACAGCTTCGACTTCATCATTCCGGTTTTATGGTGTTACTTAAGTTACGATAAACGACGACTCTTTGTTTTGAGTATAACCAGGTAATTCAAAAGCTGAGAAGCAATTCTTGTTAAGTCACAAGGTGTACATCTCAAAAAGTTTATTTCTAATGTTTCCTTATTGTAAGTTGCTGTTACTCTTTTCCACTCTCCACCATTCTTTTGGTTTTTAGTGACGTAACTCATTTCAGGCCATAAAAGCGCCGAGTATCAACAGAGTATCCACACAGAGTTAGTACACGAGGGAAGTTGTTAGATTGTACATTATTATTTTAGGGAGAAGCTGGAGCTCAATAGGCCATTTTACAGTTGTGTACTTAGTTGCCAAGCCTTTGATTTGAAGTGAGGCTGAAGGTGACCTTATTGTGATAGAGACCAGTATCTAGTTAGCGTGATAACATAGTAATTTTCATGTGAAAAGCAGCTAGGTTTGTATCATAACAAGGTCATCCTTAGCCTCACTCCTGTTCAAAGGCTTGGCAACCAAGCACACAACTGTAAAATGGACTATTAGTGTGTCAGTATGGAATCCATCTATGATGTGGACTTCAACTTCGTCCCTTAACTCCTCTCCGTTGGATCATAATCTCTCATCCATTTGTCCAGTAAAATCTCATTATTTGAATTCTCTCATCTCTATGTAATACATATCCTTGCATAACAGTTATGAGAGTTTGTTCACATCAAGAAAATACCTCATTTAGGTAAAAAGATTTACTTAATTCTGATTCCCCATCTACCGTGCTTATAAGTTTTCTAGAGTTGTAGAAGGAACATTACACGTCTTTGAATTCAAAGTTAATTAAATATTATTTAGTAACTATCTAGCTACATCAAAAAGGTTTCAAAACTGTGTAGACCGACAACTTTCTTAAATCATTCAGCACCTTATAAAACTTTGATACATTTCCAAGGAACATATGCACATCTTGCTTAGACAACACAGCAACACAGCGGTCAAGCGTCGAGCATGTATAAATGAATCACTTCTGGTCAGCCGCGTATCAACTTCCCACGTAAAATCTTCAAGGAAAACACAAGAAAGGGCTCGTACCACGAAAAACTAACCAAAAAAGAAAAAAAAAGACTTTGGAAGCCCGTAAAGAGACAAAAGTAGGGAAAAGTAATGCTTGGGTTTTCTCTGAACATTACAATTTCGCTTTGAGCTTCACCAAGAAAGTCATCGTATGCACATGCGTAGACAATTGACCGCTGTGATTACCTAGACAGTTTCCTCGAGTCTGTGACGCCTTTAACTAACTTCTTCTGCTTGTATGCACTTCAAGGGTATAAATTGAGATTAATAGTCATGTGTTTTTCCTTCAGATATCCATTAACTGCGTAGAGAAGCCAGTCTAGGATAATATAAAAAGTCACAATTAACTTAACCTTCCCATAAGAAATTAATATTCTCTATCTCTGAGGTACAGTA